TGTTATAAAAGTGTTATAAGAGAAAACAGAAATCCCAAGGCGCATTGAAAAAACGAAAGGTGCCTCTCAAGACTTAAACAAAGTATTTAGAAACTGGAACATTTAGTTAGAAACACAGAGGAGTATTGAACTGCTATGTAAAACCAATCCTTCTATATGGCAGTAAATCCCGGACAATTCAGAAGAAAAACTTGAGGTATAAGTGATATCTTCCAAAAGGTAACCAAAGTCTTAAGAAACAGAAAGATTTCGTTAGGAACAAAGAAAAAATACTAAACTAATATGTAATATCAGTCCTCCTGTATGGCAGTGAATGCTAGGCAAACTCTACACAGATGAAGAAGAGACTTGAAGCAACAGAAATGTAGTTATGCAGAAAGATGCTGAGAATACCATTGACAAAGCCTGTGAGTAACGAAGAACTTTTAAAGAAAATGGAAACAAAAAATGACATAATTTGAACCAGAAAGAGACAGTTTGTTTTTGGACACGTATGAAAATGGCGGACTTGGTGAATTTTGACACCCACAGGATATATTAAGAGAGGCAGAGGAAAGCTGCGTGTTACCTACTTAACGTATAAATGTGTAATGAATAAAACTTAGAGCTATGAAGAATGATCGTCTACGTTTTGAAGGGACACTGAACATCGAAGACAAATAAAGACATAATTTTGAAGCTAATTTTACTACTGTAAATGAAAATATAGTTTGGTCAACGGCGTAGCCATGACCAGCAATACATACAGTTTATATCTCGTATATTATGCGACCCCCTTAGAATTAGCTTCAAAATTAGATCTTCAAAAGTCGCATGATACGCGAGTATATGCACTGTTTCACCCTATTCAAGCTACCGTCAATTTTAACCAAAATTTTTTTAATTATTATTTTATTTATTGTTACCATATCATCAGACACTTACCCGCCAAATGTACTGTTTTCGGCGTTTAATATGGATCATTTCAATTTCTTGTACGATTTTTGACAAATTCTGGCTTATAAGAATACAGATCCATCCTAGTTTCATCGTTAAATGGGATTTTATTCCAATATTAATCCCATCATTCGAACGTTATACGGTGAAGATTTCAAATCAAAATTCAGCTAATGACCACATGTCATTCTACGGAGTTACTAATGCTCGTACGCCCTTGCGCGCACACACACACACACACACACACACACTATGGGTGCGTGTGTATTCATAATATATATTTAGTACTTGTCAGAGAGCGCAGATGATCATATTGTTCCATAAAAGTTTATGAGATCGATCCTCAATTCATGCACCGAGTTCCATGTATTTATGCACGTGTTGGGAAAGTGGTACTTTTCTTGAAAAGTCTTCTGGAGAAATTAGAAACAGAATCGTCTGAACAAAAACAGGAGACCCTATTGTACAATGAAAGTAGCATTAAGTGACATTGAACATATTTTATGAACTATTAAATTATGTATGTCCTGAGGATCGTTTTAAATCTTGCAATAATCGGTGGGTGTCAAAGAACTGTGCTAGATATTGGAAATGTTTTGAAAAGACGTGGGTACCATGAAAAATCGCCTAAAACAATTTGGATTGATGGGATGAGAAACCTACAAGAATCTATGTTTCTTTAGAGTATAAGCAGAATGTCTGGAACTTGGAACAGTGGTCCAAAGTGATATGCATAGATGACTCAAAATTTAGTATCTATGACCAGAGGTACATTAGAATAAGTAGCATCAAAGAATACCACCCACATTGTGTTAGAGCAAATCTTAAACACAAAGATAATATGATGTGGGCTTCTGTGTTTAGCAGTGTATCAAATTAAGGTAAATATGGTTGTTAAATCTTATCAAGAAATATTGGATACGATGCCTAAAATCATACGGTTCGGTCATAGGTGTTTCTGAATAATGACTGAAAACACACCACCATCAAAGCTTACATTGAAAACAATAACCTTGTGGTGCTGGGCCAACCAATCGACCCCTGGACATAATCGAGAACTTATGACAGAGTAGTAAAACTAAAATCTAACATTAAAGACATACATGCTAAAAGCCTCTACAGTAATTTTGTAAAGAATTTAATTGTATCGATATCTCGAAAATATGATGCTGTATTTAAAAAAATAGGTTGCACAACAAGGTATTTCTTCTCGAACTTTCATTTACTTCCTTTATTTGTTTATGCGTACTTGTTATCTAATAAAACTGAAAGCTAATTAGACTGTCCCGAAACTGTTTGACATAGGTATTTGTGCTCCTTTAAGATGTAGGCGATCATGGTTCTTTACAGATTACTTTTCTTTATTATTTGTGAACGGCTATGCATTTTTGGGAATGGCCTGTGAATTGGTTTCTTGTTGCGTTCCCTAAAATTTTAAATTCAAAGTTTTATTTCTCTGTTTGACACGGAAGGTGAGAGAGCCCAGCCTAACCTGCTATTTAACCCATCGCGGGGGAGAAGAAACGGATTCACTCTTTTCCTGTTGGCATTAGCACGAAAGTGAATGCAAAAACTAACCCGGAATTTGAAATCGGCTCGTCAATTTCAAATTCCGCGCTGCTATCAGTTACAGCAGCCGCACATGTTACTGTGGCGAAATAATTAATTTTTAGAACGTATCAAGTAAAAGAGTAAAAAATGTCTTGGAATTATGTATACTTTAGTTGATAAGAAATACAACGAAATTCAAATTTTTAAACCAACCAATATCTTCGCGTCCCTAAATTAAAGGATGTCACCACACCGCAACACATACTTATATATATATATATATATATATATATATATATATATATATATATATATATATATCAGTTTTATTAAAACAACTGATTTAGCTTCTTAGTCAATTTTTCTTGTATTTGTACAAGTATTTTTAGTAGTTGTGAGTTCAATACCTGGCTGTGGCAGTGGTGAACAAAAAATTGGAGAGTTGAGAGAGAGAGGCATGGCACGTAAAACTAGAACAATCTACACCGGTGGACGAAATAAAGGGTTCAGTTCGAAATTCCAATTACCTGAAGAAGGCCGGAGGGTGCAACAGCCAAAACGTCGTGAACATGACAATAAAGATGAGGACAACAGTCCGATCAATGTAAATAAGTATTTCTGAAAAATAAAATGTGTGAAAACTCTCCAAACGTGTCCATAGTTGATATTATTGGGTGTTGACTTTTTCTTTTTTTATTATCAATGCTTCCATTATTTTTAGCCGTTTTCTTTAAATCATTATAGATACACATATAAAATCTACATATTTAGTTAAAAATAAAAAAGAACATTCTTAATAATGGCTAATAGAATAGCCGAAAGCGCTCGGATATATAGAAGCTTTGGACAGTTTAGACAGTTTATGTCAAGAAAAAGATACTTGTACGAATGCAATAAAATCGAATAAAATGCTTAATCACAGTAACTTGTCAGTCGATTTTAACAAAACTTGTATAAAAGAGGGACTGCTGTCCAAATACACGATAATACATACAAAACACACATAGATATCATATATATATATATATATATATATATATATATATATATATATATTCATTACACGTTTCATTAAATAATATAGACAAGTTTGTCTATTTATTTTATGTAAATTCTTGATAACGTCTAATAAGTTTAATAATATTATCATTGAACGTTCAATGAAATGTTACAAAACTTATTAGATTTTTATGAAAAGAATTTGGATAAAAATAAATAGAAAACTTGTCTATATTATTTAATGAATGTGTATATATATATATATATATATATATATATATATATATATATATATATATATATATATATATATATATATTAGTTGGCAGAGAAATAAGGCGAGTGAATTTTAATTATATCTCATTCCATATAATTTTCCGTTAAGATATCTATGGTTGTCACAAAATTGATCTTTCCTAATTTAGGGGTTTAGTATTACTGGATAAATAAGTTTTGACTTTATCAATTTACTTTTATTTCATCTTTTGGTAACGTACTAACACTGTGTATCGGGTTTAAGTTTATAAGTTTAACAAGTACGTTTTATCTTTGATTCTGTTTAATGATTTTTCTATGTTAAGAAAGAAAGCTTATATTGATAAAAAGGAGGAAATAAAGAACGGAGGATAGAAAGAAGGGTTATAATGAAAAAAAAAAGAAAGAGAGAAAGAAAGATTATGTTGTAAACGGACGAAATAAATATTGGATGAAAAAAAAGAAAGAAAAAGAGAAAGAAAGATTATGTTGTAAACGGACGAAATAAATATTGGATGAAAAAAGAAAGAAAAGAGAAAGTAAGATTATGTTGTAAACGGACGAAATAAATATTGGATGAAAAAAAAGAAAGAAAGAGAGAAAGAAAGATTATGTTGTAAACGGACGAAATAAATATTGGACGAAAAAAAAGAAAGAAAGAGAGAAAGAAAGATTATGTTGTAAACGGACGAAATAAATATTGGATGAAAAAAAAGAAAGAAAGAGAGAAAGAAAGATTATGTTGTAAACGGACGAAATAAATATTGGATGAAAAAAAAGAAAGAAAAGAGAAAAAGATTATGTTGTAAACGGACGAAATAAATATTGGATGAAAAAAAAGAAAAGAGAGAAAGAAAGATTATAAGTTTAAACGGACGAAATAAATATTGGACGAAAAAAAAGAAAGAAAGAGAGAAAGAAAGATTATGTTGTAAACGGACGAAATAAATATTGGATGAAAAAAAAGAAAGAAAGGAAGTTTATACGAAAATTAGTCGAAAGAAGGCGAAAAATAAAGAAATCTTGAAAAAGGACAAAATAAAGAGTTGATATATTGAAAAAGTGTAAAAGAAAAAAGGTTCTAATTAAAAGGGATAAAGGAAAGAAATAGTGAGAGAAAGGTTATAATGAAAAAGGGCAAAAGAAAGAAAGGTTATAAAAAAAATAAAAGATAGAGAAAGCTAATAATAAAAAGGGAAAACAAAAGCGATGAAGAATGGTAATATTTCAAAAGGGCAAAATAGATATATAAAGAAAGGTTATAAGGTAAAATGGCAAAGAAAGAAATTTGAAAGTAAGGTTATATAGAAATAGAGAAAACGAAAGAAAGAAAAATGTTTATAGTGAAAAGTGTTAAAGGGAATAAAGAATGAGATAAAGGTTATAATGAAAAAAAATGTTATAAGGGCAAAAGAAAAAATGAAAGAAAGAAAACTCATAATGAAAAAGAGAAAAAGAATGGAAAAAAAATCGTCTATTTTGTTAATGGTCCTTTTTACTTAACCTGACTGAATTTCCTTTAAATGTTGTGGAAAATGAAAATAAAGAAAAATAACAAGCCGGTTATACGGGGTAGGCGGCCCGAGTACAAAGACATGAAAGAAGACAAGTCTATGAGTGTGTATGTCTGTAGGCCGTTGAGTGTGTGTCTATATTACTATAAGCACATATCTACATGTAAGTATGTACATGTTTCACTCTTCGAGTATGTATGTTCTTGTATGTGTATGCACTTGTGTGTGCGTGTGGGTGTTTGTGTGTATACATGTTCATATTTGTATGTCTGTCTATGTGCGTGTATAAGTGAAAGGGAGAGAGAGGCAAAAAAATTAAAAAAACAGGGCATTGCATTGTTTTGCTTTTTAACAAAAGTAAAATTCTTCCTCTCAGGAAAATTAAAAAAAAATAAGTGTACGAGAGGCGACAAAATAAACAGAATTGTAATCAAAACAGAACAAATGGCAGATCCAAAAATGTGGTCCTACTCGTAGGTGTAATAGTAATAGCTAGGATTTACTAGACTTGTTATTGTTATTAATACGACTATTTCTATTACCATTATCTTATAATTCTCCTTATTCCTTAATTAGTTAGCACGTACGTTACATCCTGTCAATACATCAGATAAACAATGAACCATTCCTGTTCGATTGCGAAGATAGACGGAAGAAGGCTCTGTTTGGTTTTAGGGAAAATAAATAAATAAATAAATAAATAAATAAAGAAAGAAAGAAAGAAAGAAAGAAAGGAAAATAGAGAAGGCGATAACACTCATGAGTTTAACGTCTATTTTAGTGAAATGAAAAATCTTGTCAATTTTAATCTGTTCATTTGTACCCTCTTACTTCTTTAAACAATGACCTGCATTTATATTCAAGATTATTATTATAATCTGTCTATATTTCTGAGACGAGGTATTGTAACTATTTACACTGTTTACGTCGTTTGGACTGTTGTCCTCATCTTTATTACCATATTTACGACGTTTCACCTGTAGAAGGCGGGTGCATAGAAAGACCGAAATGTCGTGAATATGGCAATAAAGACCAGTACAACAGTCCGAACGATGTAAATAGTGTAAATATTATTATAATATTTTGTTGAAGTTTTTAAGCTCAAATATTTAACGAGGCATTACGATAATTTCTACTTGTATTTTATAGTCGTGGAACTCACAGAGAGCTTATTCAGCCATTAACGCAAGTATTAAGATTCGTCAGAAAATTAAAATAGCTAAAACGTTAAAATTTTCACGAGTATTTCTGGTTATTATTATTAGTTAAATATTTGCCTTTTGATATCGGTGGTTAACATTCGATGCCCAGTCTCTTCAAATTTACAGCTTTGAGTCGACTTCAACTCTGCTTCTTTCTTTAATCTGTTTCTTTCAGTTTTATTGAACGCATATTCGGGACCCTACCAAGCTGTACAGTGATATATTATTACGTTCAGTATAGTTCATTTGTCACGCATTACTTTCGCTCGACGTTGTGAAATTAAACCTGTCTTTGACCTCTTTTAAACTTACACTTTTATTTGTTGAAATGGTTACACCCTCATGGTTCGGTAAATCTGTTTAAATTTCAAAGTTCCAAAGAATCTTTTGCTTTTTCTTTTATCCAAGACAATTTGTGATTGATAATGATATCATTTACCTACATTGTTGAATCCAAATTGTTTGCACAATTCCTAGCTGATCACTATAACTGCCCACTCGTGTTCTTCTAAAATTCTTTTTCGGTTAATTTGACTTTTTTTCTCTGAATTCAAATTTTCTATATTCCATATTTATTATTTATTATATATCCTCTCCGATTCTTAGATGTTTAGGTCGGGTGGTGATGGTCATCTCAGCTCCTGTCTTCCGTGCATGGGCTGTTCCAAGTCTCCTTGATTACTCCCAATTATGTCAGGTATCAAAAAGACGTTCTGCAGAGCAAAAGGATTCTTAGAAGTAGACCGGATGCCCCAACCACAAAAGGGACAACTTAAGCTGTTGCTTGGTATATCTGTATTTTGGCCTGCCCCACCTTCACGATGTTCTTATCCTAAGGTACTACATCAGGATCCATGGCCGATCTTATGCGCAAGGGGGATATCAGGGCGATTTCTCTCCAAACGCTTGTCAGTTAAAATTGTCGTATCCTATCTTAGCTTGCTTACTTATTCTCGACTACTGACTTGTACCATTTCTCTGCGCACTCGAAATCATACTTACTACATAGTTCCCAATGTATTCTGAAGGCTACTTTGTCATGGAATATTATTGTTATTATTGATGCATGTATATGTTTACTACAAATGTCCAATGGTCATCATTGACGATTGAGAACTAAGAAGTCATCACTAATATTCTGCACCTTCCTTAGTATCATCGCAGTCAATGGTTGAGAGCATTAAAACGGTCTTTAGTGAATTTGGAGACATAATAATTGTTAGTTCAATTTCTGGACCGTTAGATAGTACAGATACGAACCCAATAGAAACGGGACTAGCAAATTAATTAAATAATACGAGATATGCCTAGACATTGACAACAGAATGAGAACAGATTGTATGAAGGGTTCTGTACAAAATTTCATGAAAGTTACCAAAATTTACAGACATCTGAAGAAAACTATAGGGCACAAAGACTGAAACGTTGCTAATAAGAATGAGGACAATAGTGTGACTATAAATAATGTAAATGTAATATAAATAACTATGGCAGAGAGATTTGTATAGTTTCAGTAATTCATTTCATTTTCATCTCATCCGATATCGATTTTTTTTACCATAGTTTCAAGTGCACCTATTCCTATGGTCATAATTCAAACTTCTAGACAATAATCCATATCTCTCTCAGCCGCCTGGCAAAATTCTGGTATTTCGCTAATTTCTTACTCTCGTTCACGTTTGCTAAGTAGCCCTCCACCTTGTCATCTTGCATTCTTTGGAGGCCTGCTTATTATATTCACTGATTATATGGTTTACTGTTGGTTCGTAATGGCGCTATCTACTTTTTTATGCGATAATGTGGGGTTCTCTTTCTCTCTTCAAATGTCCTCCGCGTAGCCATGTTCTTAATCTTTTTTCGCGACATTTTCTCTGTTTTTAAATCTTAAAATTTTCTACTTTACTTATTGTTTCACACTGGCTTTACTGCTACTTCGCTACTTAGCTATATTTTCTCCTGAAGCAACAAACTACATATTTTCATGGTAACAAAAATCTTGATAATTAAGCATTAATTTTTTTTTAAATTTTCTAACTAAAGTTAAATTAAGCGAGTTTTCACAATCACTATATTGGTCAATGAAAATTACAAAACGTCAGTAGTTAAAAATTAAAGCAAAAATTAATGGAAGAGAGGTTGTTTTTATAAAATATAAATAAATGCCTTACTGATAATTTTACTATAGAAATTCTTACAGACAATTTTACTCGACCGAAATTCTTGTCAATGAAATGTACTGCAAATTAGAAACAAAGGAATTGTCAATGGTCAGGAATTTAAGACCAACGTTGCTGACAAAATATTTTTATTATCATATATACTAATTTTCATTTTTTGTTGCAGCTGTGCTTTCTTATGGGGAAACGTCTTACAATAGTGTATTATATGACAGAAAGGATAGGGAAAAAAAAGCACTACAAACAAAAATTTTGAAATAAAAATTAAAGCAAGAGTCGCGTCTGAAATTAGAATTTAGGAAAAAAAGAAACCGGTTCAAAAGTCAGTTAAAAACAATTTTTTTTTTAAATTAAGAAAAATTGAAATGACATGTCGTTCTTAGGTAAACATGTTGATGTATCACATTGCTGATGTGGTGCGATTGTAAAGCGGGAATGTAATTCCTTTATATAAACTGATAAATTTGATAAGTTATGAACAAATGATATTTATCAAGTAGATTGTCTTCATCAGGCATCATATGTGTGAGAAAGACAGTAAAACATGAAATAAAGAGGAGAAATTGAAGAGAAAGAAAAGAAAGAAATGTAGGAGGAAAGAAAAGAGACTAAAAACAGGATAAGTAAAAAGAAGCTGGAAGAAAAAGAAAGTAACTAAAAATCGAAGAAGTCAGAGAAAGAAGCAACATAGAGAAAGGAAAGAGAAAGAGCAAAAAGAAAGAAAGAAAGAAAGAAAGAAAGAAGCGAAGAGGAAAAAGGAAAGCGTAAAAACAGAAAGCCAAAATAAAGAATGATAAAGAGAAGGAAAATAGAAAATGAAAAAAAGAGGCAGAATAAACTGGGGATGAGAAAGAAGACAAAAACAAAAGAAAGATGTGAAAGAAAAATGGTAAATGGAAGGAAAACAAAAAAAAAAGAAACATAAAGAAAGAGAAGATTACAAAGAAAGAAAGAAAGAAAGAAAGAAAGAAAGAAAGAAAGAAAGAAAGAAAAAGAAAGAAAGAAAAAGAAAAATTGAAAATAGAGAAAATAAAAAAGATGAGAAACAAAGATCGGTGTTGGAAGGAAAATGACAAAAAAAAATAAAAATAAAGGAAGAGAGAGGATAAAAAATAGAAAGAAAAAAGAAAGAAAAGTAAATGAAAATAGAGAAAAAAAAATGAAAAACAAAGATGGGAGTCGGAAGGAAAACAATAAAAAGAAAGAAAAATAAACTAACAGAGATGATAAAAAATAGAAACAAAGATCGGTGTCGGAAGGAAAACGACAAAAAAAAATAAAGGAAGAGAGAAGATAAAAAATAGAAAGAAAAAAGGAAGAAAAGAAAGTAAAAAGGGAGAAAATAAAAGATGAGAAACAAAGATGGATGTCGGAAGGAAAACAGCAAAAAGAAAAAAATAACTTGCAGAGGAAAAATATAAATTGAAATAAAAAGGAAATTGAAAAATGAAACGTAAGAAAGAAATTGAACGAGAAAGAATCAAAGATGGGAAAAGAGAGAAACAGTAGAAAACAGAATATAATAAAAAAGATGAAAAGAGAAGAATAAGCTGAGAATGCGAGGAGCGGACACAAGGAGTGAAATATAGGTGAGAAACGAAGAAGGAAGAAAGAGAAGATGAGAAAAAACTGTAAAAGAAAAGGAAAGAGTAGAGAAAGAATATGCAATTGTATAGATGAAGTTAAGAATGGGCCATAAAAAGAAGATGCTAGGGAGAAAGTAAGAGTAAAATAGAAGTGAAAGGGAAGGAAAGAGAGAGAACGTCGCGAAAATAATGGGAAAAGAAAAAAATACCGTGTCTAAAGCAATGAAATGAAGGAAAATTATTTATTTAAAGAATGTTTTTCTCATTAGTGATGTCAATGGGAGACATATCAGATTTTTGTTTTCGATTTTGGTTAGGGACATTTTCTTTTTTTTAGAGTGTGAGGAGTTGATTAGTTAAATAAAGGTTAGTGTTAGGGCAAACCAAAATTGTTACGAGTCGATCTTTTGTAAGGAAAATCCTCATATGGTTAATATCAACCGGGATACTTTATTAACCCGTTGTTCAATTGGGCAATGATAACGTAAAAAAGCTACCGTATTTTCGAACCTATATCGCATACTTCACCTACCAAATAAAATGTTTAACTCCACGATATACTACGCTTATAGGGTAACCACTAACAGAAAGGTTTCCACGTGACCAAAGAATGAAAGATAGACGCATTAATAAAAACTGCCGATAATTAAAATATGTAAACCTGTAAATTTGAAATGCTTCTTGATTAACCCGTTAAAACTTACCGTGGCCATTAATGGATTATAGGTAAGAGCCTTTTACTAATACCGGATTTGTATAAACTTATAATTAATACAGTATCTTTTTAAAAATATAGAAACCTATAATTAACACCCGGTTTTTACTTTGATTTTATAATTAATACAAGATTGTACAGTGGGTACTAATGGATTAAGCTCGATTTAGTCAATAACCAACTATAGTGTATAAACAATGACTTTGGGCGAAGCAAATCTTATTAAAATTTTACGAGAGAGTTCTAAGGTTGACAATGGCTGTAATAGAAATGTTCTGTTATTATATTTTAATTGTCACCCGTGTCACAAATAAGATCAGTAAAAAAAGCTTGGAAAGAGGACCCCTATAGTAAACTTTTATTTAGTAAATTCACTTCACATACGTAATTGCTGTTGTAGTGAATTTGATCCGGAATAGGTAACACACGACTGTCATTTTCCACCGTCATAAAATGGGTCGGTATCTAATTTCTATCCTATTGGTTCTATCTGGCAATTAGTATAGCCAAACTATTAAAAATCCAAATGAGATTCCATCGGTACATTATTTATCTCCCATAAGTTTCATATGGCAATTAGTGTAACCCCATGAGAATCCACCGATAAATTATTTGTCTCCAATAGTTCCTCCGGTAATAGAGTAGCCTCATTACCACTTATTCAAATTAGACTCCATCGGTACAATATTTATCTTTCACTGGTTCAATCCGGCAATTTGTCTGCCCTGGTTACCACTACTTCAAATAAGATTTCCTTTCTAAATTATTTATCAGTCTAATCTCACTACTACCAAACCAAATTAGACTTTATCGGTATATTTATTTATCACCTTCCGGTTTCCTCCGTCAATTTCTTTAACCCCATAACCACCACACCAAATCAGACACCATACCTGTAGGTATTAGCTTAACCCAAGCGTGTATTACGTATGGCACTTAACTAAGTGCCATACGTGATTCACGCTTGGGCGATCATGTCTCTTTCGTTTTATGACTGACTAGGCAGACCATTTTCCTTTAGTAGGTTGCCATTTCTTTTTAAGAAAGACTAGTTGTCGGACAAGACTAAAGGACCCAGTTTGTCCTGCTATTTAACCCATAGCTGGAGAAATAATAGACGGATTTATACATTTCACAAGCGTAAGTGAATATAGGGAACTCGAATAGAATTTGAACTCAGTTCTCCGATTTTTCATTTCAAGGTGACATCCATTACACTACAACGTACATCCCAACAAAATTTCCTAAATAAAACTTACTTTTATTTGTCTACAACAATTTCTCTCAGGCAATTATTCTTATCCCGCTAACGTAAACCGAAATACGACTTCATCGGTAAATTATAAATTTTAGTCTAATTGCACTACTCGATTCCCTAATAAAACTGCATGAATTCATTATTTATCTCATATCGTCTTACTTTTATCAGTTCATGCGACAGAACTACCAGCATAACTAGTAAGATTTTGTCAGTATTTTAACTTCCTGCTGTTCCCTTTGACAAATTTCTCTTTTTGTTAATTATTTTCATCTCTCATTGACACTAATTGGAAATATATCGTTATATCAAACTCGAAGTGGACTAAGTAGATTTTTACTCTGCTTAATTTAGTCTTGTATGAGACCAAATAAGTAAACGATTGTGTTGTATAGGTTTGTCAAGTGGAAAGCGCCTGCCTGTTTTAAATATCAACATTCGGAATCCGAGCTTTATTGAGACTAAAATTCTGATCACTGACGAAAGAAGCTTTTTCTTATCTAACACTGAAACTAACAAATGAGGAAATTCAATTATCTGATATCTGTTAATAATAAGGAGCAGAAAGCAACGCAGATATTCGAAGGCACACAGGAATAATGAAATATACTTAGAAAAAGTAGTAAGTATTAAGGGATCGAAAAATAAGGTTAGACGTTGAATAGGGATACAGCAATCTTTGCCTTTGTAATCTCCGATATGACAGAGAAAGCTGAACAATTTCGTCACAAATAAAGAAAATAAAAACAAACAAAAAAAAACTTGAGGCAACGAACTTGAGGCAAATGTGGTACTACTGACGAATGTTGAGCATATCATGGGCAATGCACGTGACAAATGAGGAAGTTTTACGGTTGATAAGGACTCTAAAGTGAATTTTGCTTGCAAGCAGCAAGAAACAGTTGAAATTCTTTTGGGCACATCGTGAAAAAAGAAGTCTTACAGAAGGTAAGAAAAACAGAAGAAAGTAGCATTAAACTATTAAAAAAAAATTTATACAAATGTAAGGAGAAATAAGTACCACAAAAAAGTGTATTAAAGGATAAAATATTAAGGCGGAAAGCTGTGAAGAGACATGATCGCCTACGTCCCAAAGGGAGACAGCACAATGAGAGAGAGAGAGAGAGAGAGAGAGAGAGAGAGGAGAGAGAGAGAGAAGAGGGGGGCAGAATACAAGAAATCGGTACTAAGAAAGCTAATTGAAAAATTGTTAAAATTTGTGCAGTTGTTAAAATGTATATGTTTACTATATTTTAAAAATAATTAAATTACTATATAAGTTATTGACATTTCCCCACTACTTCGAATAAAAGGTTAGGAAGGAAACTCCCATCAGTACTGGAAAGAACGATAACAGTTACTTGACTTGAGAGACCTATTTTCTCCAAAAACTGTTTTTTTTAAAGAAATATTTTATAAGTTACAACCGACAATATCACTGACTGCTTGTCAATGAAAGTTTCCTCACAAGGAAATGGTTAATATTACCATTACAATTATCATATTTAGTTTAAAGCAAAGAGAAGTTAAAAGAAGCAAATTGTGCTTCTAGTCTCTTGGAATCCTGTATATGATGAGAAACCCTGGCCTATATCTTGTTTCGAACACTGACTAATGTCACTGCTATTAACCCTTCAAGCAAACCTACTAAGTCCGGCATTGCTGTGAGATATTCAGTAAGGTTCAAAATCACAATATTAGCGCATTGCTCTGCGAAGACGATCTTATTATTCATCATTCCACTAACAAACCTTTATCTATCCTCTTTAACTTTTATCTTTCATACATATCGGACACGTCATTCATCATTATCGTTTTAACAATAATCCTTTATTGAGTCCTGTATTTTGTGAATTTTAGCATAAAAACAGAGGCCACTTAGTCGCAGAAAGAGAAAGATGTTTATTAAAGGTGTATATAACATTTGAAAAGTTACACAAATTTTCCAAGCCCATTTTGATTAACGTTTTTCACATGATGATTACTGACAGTTGGCGAGGTGCATCGAATTTAATAGCGGGTTTGGGATACTTGAATATTCAAGTGTGCATATACATAACAAAAATACATGCATTCACATTCATATATTTGTCTGTGCGTAGTTTCTGCTTCTCTTTAAAATAACTGATGCAGAATAGGAACACATTTCATAATGTAAAAATACCCTATCTATCTATCTATCTATCTATCTATCTATCTATCTAGCTAGCTAGCTAGCTGGAGAAAATTCTCAGTCCGACCAAAACGCCGATTTCCATGTCCATTCCTGTCTGTCTATCAATCCGTTCATATCAGTTTGTCATTTTATATCTATCTATCTATCTATCTATCTATCTATCTATCTATCTATCTATCTATCTATCTATCTATCTATCATGTTAGAGTTTTCGGCCTGACCAAGAAGCCCTCATTACCAACGAAAGATTTTTGATATTTGGTCAGATTATGAGAAGTGAGGTGGCTGAGAAGTTTTCTCATAAGTATGTTCATACTTGCTCATAGGTATGTTTTCTATCTTACTTTCTGTCTCAGTTCATAACGTTCATATTTATATTAGTCTGTTTATATCTATCTACCGTAATCCGTTCATATCTATCTATCTATCTATCTATCTATCTATCTATCTATCTATCTATCTATCTGAACCTGTTCATATCTATCTATCTATCTATCTATCTATCTATCTATCTATCTATCTATCTATCTATCTATCTATCTGTATGTCTGTCTCGGCCATTTTATATTCATGTTCGCCCGTTCATATCTCTCTCAAATACAGAAAAACACAAGTAATAAATTTTTTTTCTTCAGCGTAATTCTATTTCATTGAGCATCTTCAAATCCACGGGGCATACGCCGTCCCACTGTACAATGTATTAATATAACTAATAAATGAATAAAAAATACTTTAATTTTTTTTTATGTCATCAGTTTCTTTTTTACCGACAGACGTGAGTAGTAAGTTGATATTTACAAAATGTTTGCTGTCATAGCCTTGTGTCAGCTATAGCTAAGCTTAATAAATATTTGTTCTGCTTGAAAAGGTAGATAGTTGTATATCACACACACACACACACACACACACACACACACACACACACACACACACACACACACATATATATATATTCATGTAAGTATGGATTTTGTATGGATTTTATTTTGGGCTTTTTAAGTTGTGCAATGAATGTATGTGTGTGTTTTCTTTCATTAGGAAACTGTTTTCCCACAAATGTCACAGGTCAGTTACTGTTGACTTGACGTTAATCCCCTTGGTCTGTACAAAGAAATCTTCGAGTCGAAGAATGATTGTTAGTAAATGTAAATTTCTTCCGTCTGCATAACCGACAGTCACCCCGTGTATCCGAGGAAACGCTTTTCCTAATTTTGGCCCGGTTGTCTACGACCTATCCAGTAAGGCGGGATGACGTAAATAGTAAATAACAGAATTAAGTGAAAGAAGTGTCCCATCGCCAAATCCTTACATGTCTTGCACAAATCTATTTTAAGTTATTTGTGTCGTTACTAAAGAGGTTTTTCGACGTATCTTCTGTTATGTTGTATAATGTTTTGCTTGATAAGCATTTATTCTTCCAATTTGATGACATACATAAACCATGTAAACAAGTGTCACCTAAATAAGACACAGGTCACTTGTCAATTAGCAACATAGACATGTCATGAATTTCATCGTAAGGATTCTATCTATCTATCTATCTATCTATCTATCTATCTATCTATCTATCTATCTATCTATCTATCTATCTATCATACATACATATGATTTTTGTGTCAAACGTGTAACTATGTGGCCTGTTCTGTGACCGAGATTGTTGTGTATTTGTATGCAATTGCTTCTAGGTCTCACCAGAAATGGCGATTACATGAATAGTAGTCGACGACTACTGGGCGAAACGTTTTCCCGAAATTGTTTCTTTGTGTATATGTGCCGTGATGACTCCACATTATTAAAAATTGGTGAAAAACATCTCCGAACCCCAATTATAGTGAACTAAGATTAGAAAATATTTCAACTCAAACAGATCGTTAACATCTTTCCAAGCTTCCAAACATCCTATAATTATAATACAATCATCTCTCTCTCTCTCTCTCTCTCTCTCTATATATATATATATATATATATATATATATATATATATATATATATAGTGTAAGTGAATGACAAAATGAAAAAATTATTAAGACGTTTCGTTCTGAGAAAGAACTTCTTCAGACTGATAACGTTTTTATTAATAGAATGAGTTTATATATATATATATATATATATATAATTCTCAAAATGTGTGCGTGTGTATGCGTGTGTGTGTGTGTGTTGTTTATGCGTTTCCACAGTTTTCATCCGTTTTCGATGAAATGTTTTTGTTTGATAGAGAATTCTTCAGTGCCGGTTTTGACTCCAAATTGGCTAAGAAAATTAAAACCTTGAAAAATTGAAAAAACTGATTTTTTACACTTTGCGCAAAAAATCAAAGGTAAAATTTAATGTCTGTAAAAAAACAGCGTACAATGAATTCAGAGAGTTTAAAACTAACGTAAAAGATTATTAGAATTATAAAAAAAATTATATTATAAATAAAAATTATTGTACATTATTATTATAAACGTCCATAGAAGAGGTGCCCTCCTTGCAAGATTGAGAAAGCAAAAACGGCCATCCCTCATTCAAATTGTTACCCCCCCCCACCATTTGGGGATGTGACTCAGTTGTACCCAATTGTTGTTACTAATATTGATTATATTGCTAGTATACTGCTAGTATATAAAAAGAGAGAACGCTGTGGTGGTGGGGAGAGCTAAACGACGGTTGCAGTTTACATTGAATACCTTTTTTCAAAATAATTTCGATTTAAGAACGCAGTTCTGATTAAACGTGAAAATAATGTATTAATGTATTAGTTGGGTATTTTTGTTTAGCGGCATATCATCTTCTATAGTTTAGTTAATGCCGAAATCTAAATATTTTGTATACAATTTTTTCGTGGGGGAGACAATAATAATTTTAGTGATACGGATCTTACTAATTAACCCATAGCTGAAGAGAGAGGAGGTGGATTCATATTTTACGAATGCAACGGGAATTGGAACCCGGTTTTTCGATTAAAAATTCCAAGCCATTATCCATAACACCACACGCACATCGAAGCCTATAGAAACTGGTATTCCAAAGCGGTTACCCACTATGATGTACTCTTGCGTCGTCTTCGATATTTGATGGTTCAAAAATTCAGTTCCTAGAGCAAAACAGTCAGATTAGCCACACACATGATTTGATTATAGTAGTGAAGTTTTTTTTAGCCTGGTACTGAACTCACAACTCCTTGGATCTAATCACTGGATCTAACCAATGCCTTTATCCACTCAGCCATGTGTCCTTGGGGATACAGCAGTGGTGAACCGAAACTTGGAGAATTGAGTTAAAGGGAAATAACTGAGACATCTGGAAAAGGCATGGCACGTGGAACTAGAACAATCTACCCCGGTGGATGAAATAAAGGGTTCGGTTCGAAATTCCAATCACCCGAAGAAGGCCGGAGCGTACAGCGGTCGAAACGTTGTAAATACGGCAATGAAGATGAGGATAACAGTCCGAACAATGTAAATAATGTAAGTAATCGTATACCTAATATCAGAGATATAGACATATGTTTTTTCTATTTTTTTTATTGAATGAAAATAAAAAAAAAACAGCGTAAACACGTCATATGTGACTGGACAACGAAGACAGCGAATACGACGAAGGCTGACAACATAGATGAAAGTGTTATGATGCCTTTTGCATTGTTTAGGGATCATTTGCACCCAATTTTGAACACCATGTATCCTAATAACGAAAGCTTATTTCATCAGGATAATGCAACATGTCATCGATGTCAAGCTGCCTCGAATTGGATTGAGGAGCTTTCTGGAAGATTCCAACAAATGTTGCGGAAACATTTACCCTTCATGTGTCCAATCGAACATTTGCCATATTTATCCACGCATAATACACATTTTCTGAAATTTTTAAGCTTAAAAATCTGCTTTGCTTTTAAAAACTAAATATTCATTTTTTTTATATGACCGAAAGTAACTGATATCTATTGTTCAAACTACAGGGTGTCCCACAAAAAAAAAAAAAATAATAATTTAGATTTACTACATGATGAAAAAAATTAACTGACATATAAAAAATTAACTATATATTTTACTATATGAATGAACTAAAAAAATTAACTAACATATAAATTTTTAAACCATTTGTTTTAATGCAAGGTGATTGTTCTCTTTAAGAAAGAACATCCAACTAGGGGACTAAAAATGCCAAGAAATTCCGTGTTCTTTTGTTCGATAGCTAAAAATCAGTTTACTGATTTTGCAGCTAAGCTTTGCTTTTGTTTCAAATAACTGTAACAAATATACCAACAATAAACAGAAAATTTCGTGTTTATTTTTGTTTGTTTTGTGAGGCACCCTGTAGCTAATGTATAACAAAGACTTAGAACCGTTAAACAAACACTGTATTTGTTTCTTTCTATTTATTTATTTATGAAGAAATATAGTCTTGAGGTGTGCTATATTTATGGGATAAAGTGCTCAATATCAAAGATAGAGCGTGTGTAAATATAAAAGTGAACATAGAAGTCAACACTTAGAGGCGACAGACTGTTTTATGCTAGATGCAATCGTCAGGCCTGACGATTGCATATAGCATGAAACAGACTGTCGCCTCTAAGTGTTGACTTTATGTTCACTTTTATATTTATTTATTTATATATATATTTTACTATTCACGTAGATATTAAGTACATTATAGTCAGCTTCACGATTGTCTTTGTCAAAGACAGACATCATAACACTTTCATCTATGTTGTCAGCCTTCGTCGTATTCGCTGTCTTCGTTGTCCAGGAGTCATCTTGTCCTTCCTGAAAAAGGATGCCATATTCACTAACGCACAGTGCAACATTCTTTTCAGTGACTTTGCTACGATAGTTTCAGGGATGATGATTTTCTTTTGTGCTTCCGCTAATCGCTGGAATGTATTTTCATTTATGAATATTTTTCAACTCGTGTTAGCTTCTTTTCGCTTCAAGCTGGCTGCATTTTTCAGATAATTTCGTCAGTTTGCTCCAAAAACTGTTTCTAAAAAAGTAATGATTCTTTTAATTTATTAATCCGACAGAATCTTTCACTTAAACGTTATTTTTAGTTGATACCCATATTTGAGTAGACTCTCCATTTATTTATTAAACAATACCTTTATTTATTTTCGTTTACCGGTTTGAATATTAGAGAAATCTCACTAAAGAAAAGATCATCAACGGTTACCCTGCTAGTGGGGTTGCAGGTTCGAATCCTGTCGAAGGGCGCATCTTTTCTTTAATAAGATTTCTCTAATACACAGGCCGGTCGACTAAAATAAATAAATATGTTGTTTAATAAATAAACAGAACGTCTACTCAAATATGGGTATCCATTAAAATAACGTTTAAGTGATAAAATCTGTCGGATTAATAAAAAAAATATTCAGTCGTTTTTGGTTTTACTAGCATGAAGTCACAAGTCATCGTGACTAAGAGTTTGAGTATAGTGGCCTTATTCAGTTACTGATCACACCAGATTATACCCTCTCCCTCAGAATCTGTAACTGAGGCCCGCTCAGCATAGTTTTGTGGGTTGGCTTTGTGGGCGTCGAAAAACGTGCCATACTAGCGAACAGGCATACTACAAAACGAGTAACTATCTATTATATTAGTTGGTACGAGTTCTAGCTGATGAATGAGTAGCTAGAAACTTTCTATAATGTACTCTAAAATACAGACACTATTAAATATGTACCCATCAACAACAAAGTTTTAATATTTTTTATTTACATTTAAATGTTTTTAATCTTTTTCCTCTTTCTTTCCGGTCTTGACGCGTATGTAATAAAACTTTTTCTCTATGATGAAATTGCGTGGAAATCGAGAACTCTTTATGACCAGACCGACAAAAAAATGACAGCAAAAATAAATAAATAATGTACTCTGTTCGTAAAGCACAGAGGCGGATAGGACGTTTCATTTTGTAGACGAAAATTTGTTTGTCTAAGACATTCTGCCTCTCATTATTGAGAAGTGCGTGGGTGGATCAGTGATAGAGTTTACAAGAATTGGTGTCCGACAATTTGAACCTTGAGAAGGTGAGAGATACGAGCCTGAAGAAGTGCATCGCCATATTTAGTTTTCTCTTTGAAAGAAGAAGAAGAAGAAGAAGAAGAAGAATTGTCGCTTTTGCCGGGAAAGAAACGAGATACTAAACTACCTTGTAAGTGAATCAAGGAGCAACGATACAGTAAGGACAGTGATAAACTATGGATTTGGAAAACGATTTGTGTAGCTGCAGACATAGAGCTATCGCCTCTTCACAGTGACATCTGTCCCTAAGCATAAGTGTCATTTTCATCTCTTCCAGCCTAACCATCAACTTGTTGGGTGGGGGCTAGGATTTTCTCTCATCTAATTAAGATTCTACAGTACAAGAACTTAAGAGAATATAAAAGAAAACTAAAACATCCTATTAGTCCACAAGCAGGCAAAAGTAATATGTACATATTTATATTATAGTTAAATTCATTGTGACTTGTATTTTTGTGTGTAGCAATGTTCTGTTTATGCATTCTATGTTTTTTTCTTTGTCTATTTATTTCTATGGTGTTGAAAGACTGTAAATATATGAGCTTGTAATAAAACATTAAAAGGAAACGTTTTATGGCTTCGGGAAGTACAATTTAGGATCGACCATAC